CCTCTGTTTCTCTCCCCTTCTTCCTTCTCAACTATCCTTCCTCCCATTCACTCTCTTTCAATCTCTGTCTTTCTACCCATCTACCTTCCTTCCTTCCTTCCTTCCTTCCTTCTTTCCTTCCTTCCTAGCTTTCTCCCTTCCTTTCTTTCCAAAATCATACCATTAACCCCACTCTGCCTCCCCCCCCTTTCTCTCTTTCCCCCCTATCTAACTCTCTCTCTCTCTACCTCCTCTTCTCCATTCCTGCCTTCCACTCGCCCTTCCTTCCTATCTAGGGCCCGTCGTTTACCGCCACGACGGGCTTTCCTTACTAGTTAAAACATAAGCCCAGTAGCATCTTAGAGACGCACAATATTTCCAGAACAATATTTCCAGCGTATAAGCTTTCAAGACTCAACGCTCCCTTCAGTTCTGACAAAGGGAGCCTTAACTCTCAGAAGAAGGAGGAGGAGGAGATTGGATTTATACCCCGACCTTCACTTGGAGTCTCAGAGTGGCTTACAAACTCCTTTCCCTTCCCCTCCCCGCAACAGACACCCCATGAGGTAGGTGGGGCTGAGAGAGCTCTTTCAAGGACTGCTCTTGAGAGAACAGCTCTGACAGAACTATGGCTTGCCTAAGGTCATCCAGCAACTGCAAGTGGAGGAGTGGGGAATCAAACCCGGTTCTCCACTTCAGAGGATGGCGGAAGACCGGAAAGCTTGGCATGATCTGGTCCATGGGGTTGCGAAGAGTCGGACTCGACTGTGCGACTGAACAACAACTGGACTTGAATCTTGCTCTTCCACTGCAGATCAACACAGCTGCCCACCTGAAACTAAAATGCAAGCCGTAATATTAATTGATGTGTCACTTTGCACACGCTCAAAAGGCCCACTTTTGATTACTACTTCATAGGCCTCAACACCAAAGCTAAATTCACCTCAGGGGAGGGTAGACTAGGTGGCCCTCTGACTCCATGAAGAATGCTGACTTTTGGAGCTTAACATAGCTAGAGGCAAGAGACTGGGTCTTTCTGGCTGGTGACTCTGATCCAATGTGTTGTAGTGGTTGGTTAAGGGTGGTGGACTCTGATCTGGGCAAACCGGGTTTGATTCCCCACTCCTCCACCTGAAGCCAGCTGGGTGACCTTGGGCCAGTCACAGTTCTCTCAGAGCTCTCTCAGCCCCACCTACCTCACAGTGTGTTTGTTGTGGAGAGAGGAAGGGAAGGCAATTGTAAGCCACTCTGAGACTCCTTCAGATAGT